ATTGGAAAAATATTAACGATGGGAAAAAAAAAAAAAAAAAAAAAAAAAAAAGTGAGAGGAGTAAAAAGAGTTGTCTGTCATCTGTAAATTTGGGGGGGGGGGCATTTGGGAAAATAAAATCTGTAGGCGTGCACTTTTTTGTGTTTCTTTTTTGTGTTTCTCAGATAAGCTGAGCTAATGGTGTCAGGCAGCTTTGACAGAAATGGGCAACAGGTTGAACACACTATAAGTTGTTTGTTTTATCAGGCAACAATGGAAACAGATTGTCCAAATTAGTTACTCTATTTCTGACCTTATAGTTCTTTCCAAGCAATGCTGACTGACAACAATAGTCAGGCTAGTTGTCAAATGTTTATACATATAGGCTATATATGGGTGAAGTTGTGATCTTGCTCTGAACTTTGACCTTAAAACTATTTTTCACAACTTTCTGATTATTCCAAAAGCTATTACCATTGATAAAACTAATGACATGAAATAAAGTGACAAACATACTTTTTAAATGATTTATATTATTAATTACTCATTTTGTTGGTTTTTACACACTAGATAGATCCTTTTAAAAAAACTATATGTAGGGGACCAGGGATTATCAATTAATATTAAGATTTAGTGTCAACATGTATACATTTATGAAATAATCAGTTATAGTAGGATGCTTTTAAATGGAGTTTCTTAAATATTTAAAATCTATTTCATGACAGAAAATGAGCATGTTTCGAGAATAAGCCTAGTGTTTCACCGTCCTTAGAAAAAATACAACTCCCTAAATTCCTTGCAGTACACGATTTGACAAGTGGCCAATGGGCGCCTTGACCGCTGTCACGTGACTCGGGCTGAGAGCTTCGTGCGGCGGTGCAAAACAGACTGGCGATCTGAGGAGCGGGGAATTGCAGTTTCTGGGTAAGTAAAGACATTTGCAAACCCAAGATTCCTCGGGTCGCATGTTAAGACTTCTCGGCGAGGGTCTGCTCTTTATTTAGGTCTGCTTGGAGCGGACTCGGGGGTAAATGTAGCACTTGAGAGCTGTCGCAGAGATAGGCCCGACCTATTTCCTGGTCACAGTCCTGTGCTGGAATACATTCACAGTGTAAGAGCTCCCACGAAATCGCTAGAAGTGATAAAAGTGGACTTTTTAGACGCTGGAGAAGCTTGTTTTGACGTGTATGTCGTTATCTCTTATCGTTTGAATCTATGAATGGAAGTGGATGTGTGTACATACACTGCTCATAATTTTCCATCACATCATCTCATAAGTTGGTGAAAGTGTGTATCTGCTTTCGTCGTGATTGATCCGGGCATTTAGCCTCAGGGTCAACGTTTTTTGAAGTATTTGTTTGAGTTTTGGATTGAAACTTCCCTTGACAGATTGATTTCATTCCTCTCTCCTATCTCTTAAGTTAAAAGTCATTTTCTTTATAGGCAGGGAAAGAAGGCTGTAAATGTGCACACCGTCATGCAAAAGCCACAACAGTCCTGTCATCATTATAAATAACTCTCTTCTTTCTCTCTCTCACACCCAGGCTGGTGCTGTAATAATTTACATGCCTGTCTTTGACTGCTAACCTGATGTGTCATTCCCTCAGGTGTCCATTTGAATCTTAGAGCTTCATATTTGCCCCTCAAATGACTCAGAGATCTGAATTTGTTGTGTTTTCAACAACACTGTTCGTGGCATAAGTGTAAATTTAGCTCAAAATTAGTGACTTCAGGTTCTGAGGTGCTGATGTGGTCTGTATGCAGACATATTGCATATTGCTGTTTGGTGTCAACATGAAGAGGCTTGTTGGGTGGCCTTTATACAAAAATCTTTTATATTTTAATTAAATTAAGTTTATTAAATAAGTAATTATTATTATTATTGAATTTATGGTACAATCGAAATAAAAATCAGTTTAATCAAGTAAAGATTTGTCAGCTAATCTGTCCCATGATGCATCACGATTGACAGGATGTTCATTACCTTTCACAGCTGTGGTGTTGCTGTTGATTTACAGTATGTTTCATATTTTCTGCCAAAAAATATATGAATATGACTGTAGAAACAGCAACTGTGCTTCTTGAGAACATTAGGGATAGTAGAAAATAGACAATTTGAATGACATATCGATCTTAGCTGTATGGCCCAGGTTTGCATATGACCATCATAATTTTCCAACCAAATTCTCCCCCTCGCTGCCTGTCGTACTGTTCTGTAATTTCAAGTTGAAAAGTCTATACATAGAGTTCAACAATACAGATTACAATAAAATACAGGCCTGGAGCCAACCGACATTACTGTCTGACTTATTTTTTGCCTTGCAGATTTAAATATTTGTCTGTTTGTATTAGTCTTGTGAATCTGCTGATTTACATATGTTACCATGGTAATTGTTATTAATAATTATACCATGGTTATTAATTGGCTTACACACATTATCATTCAAAAGTTTGGGCTCAGTAGAATTTTTTAAAAGAAATCAATTCTATACTCATCAAGGATGCGTTAAAGGGATCATATGATGTTGCTAAAAAGAACATTATTTTGTGTATTTGGCATAATGAAATGTGTTTATGCGGTTTAAGGTTCAAAAAACACATTATTTTCCACATACTGTACATTATTGTTTCTCCTCTAAGCCCCACCTTTCTGAAACGCGTCGATTTTTACAAAGCTCATCGGTCTGAAAAGTGAGGTGTGCTCTGATTGGCTTGTGACGTAAATGTTACGACCCTTACCATACTGTGATGCCGTGTCCCGGAGCGACAAGACAAAACCAATAAAACCCATTATAAACGAGGCATTTGTTGCATCCAGTGGGGACATACTTACGGATTATAATGACTTGTATGGTCTTTTTACACGTTGCATTGCGCCGTGTAAACATAAAACCATGTCTGCATTTGTGATCGGAGAAATGACAAACAACAAGCGCTACTCTACACTGTCCAAAAAACTCACTTTTGAATCATCAGTGGCAAATTCTTTAAAGGGGTGGTTCACCTTTTTTTTCTAGGCTTGATTGTGTTTATGAGGTGCAGTCTAACGTGTTAATGCTTCGTTTAAAAAAAACAAACATTATTTTTCACATAATTTACCTTTATTCCACACAATATACCTCACCTCGGCGGCGTGTGCTCCGGTTGTATTGTAAACAACGGCGTCGTTAATTTCGCTTATCAGTTTGAGCCCGATTGAGAAGCAGAGGATATTATTGAAGAGGATCGTGCTGAACCTGTGCAAGCACGGCTTTTAATGGTAGGTCTATGTTTTTTGTTTGTTGTCTCATACTTTTAGATATGCTGTTATTTGTAAATGCTACTGCTTATGTTAGCTTTTAATATACGGTTTTATCTAGGGCTGAACGATTAATTGCATTTGCGATAATATCGCTATATGAAAAAACGCGATTTTTCAATCGCAGAGGCTGCGATTACACTCGGTCACGTGACACGTGAGAGTAAAGAGGTATGTTCCACTTGAAGATCGATCGGTGTATGACATCAAAGTAAGGCGAGAGAAGGCATAAGGAGACATCCGCGCTCTCTTATAGCTCTCGCAGTACTTTGATGACACACACCCATCGGTCTAAGCAGCGCTGCTTCAAGTCGAGCGAGGGCCATCAGCAGAAAAAGAAAAGAAATAAAACAGTAAACAGCCAAAGGACGTAACTTAGAATGGGAGATGGATCGGTTTGTGAAAGCGAAGAGAAAAGCCATAGATGAAGTCGCACAGACCCAGGCAGGTGCTGGTCATTCAAAAGCTAAATGCAGAAACTATGACGAGGCATATCTTGCTCTCGGCTTCACTCACCGTGTCTATACCGGACGCTACAGTTGTCGCGTCGCACCGCAACAGCTCTACACTGGACGTGACAAAGCGACCGTTGCAAATCATTTGAACTTTGTGTCAGTACGTCATAAATAGAACAAGGCATCAGTTTAATGTCGCTGCCTTATCCAGTGTACACAGCGTCACTGATTATAATGGTTCTACTCTATTTTGATTCAATTCAGAAGCAAGATCGCGCCCACGCGGAGGAGCTTTAGCACGCGCAACATGAAAGCCCTGTTTAATTATTATAGAAGAGAGAACTAAACATTCAAATATCTGCTTACACTTTAGGCCTGTGGCTATTTTATTAAGCTAATTTTATTTTTTTATTTCGATTTTGGCTTCTAAGGATTATACAAAAGAAGACTAGGTAAAGCTATTAAAAACTAGCTGCGTTTCGTATTCTTTCTTCTTCACTTCTTTCCCTTCACAGTGGTGCGCATTCGTTCTTCCCTAAAACCCAAACTTAACGTCAGAATCCGCTCAATCGGTGATTGTTGTAAGGTGCCGTCTTTACTGTTGCTAAATTGCAGGACATGTTTGATAATAAAACGTTGAAAGCACAATCCGCACAAGAGATGCTGTTCCTCAGGCAGAAACGTGTGCGCGCGACGCGCTCCAAAACAGACAAACAAATTTGAGTTTCGGGTGCATGTCCAAACGATCAAATACACACTAAATATGTCCAAATGGCCGGCTTGGAGAGTATTTACTTAAACACAGTTTATGTCTTAAGTGGAGGAGAACAGCTGGGAGAAAATCCGATGTGTGTCAATATATTGTCTTAAAGTGACAGACTGGCGCTTGGGCCATCAAAATGCAAATCTGCTCTTAATCTGAATAACGTTATAGCTTTAATATGCATTAATCTATCAATACATGCAATGAAAACTATGCAGTGTTCATTTACATTTGATTACTTTTAGATTTCTTTTGTAGGCTATTACTTACCTGAACAGTAATGTTAGTAGAACTTCATGGAAAAATGACAGCACTGTTTATTTCATTTCATTTGTATATTTGTTTTATTGTATTTGTAAGTTTGTTTTACTTTTTTTCTTTGTTCATGTTCTTACTGTATCTTATGTATAAAACACTAAAAATGCCTGCACACTGGTGCATTTACAAATTGATGTTTTATATTAATTTCATTAAATATTTATTTTACATTTCAGAATATAAAGCAATGTTAATTCAGCTCTTAATTTGTTATTATATATATATATAACAAAAAGTACCGATAAGAATACTGTTAAAATACCGAACCGATAAGCAGTATCGATAAAGAGTAGTAATACCGTTAAAACCTTAACGATACCCATCCCTAGTGGTAAAGCAACAGACTTGTTTTTATATTTCTGCAATCTACTTTAGTTTGTGTGATTTGTTACTGACTTTCATATTAATGTTTACACCAGACTTATTTGTCAGTGCTTTATGTTGTCATAATTATTACATGCTTACAAGGTTGGAAGTTCAACAAATCAGTCAATATACTGTGATTGTAGTTGTTAAATAAAAATGTCATTCATATCAATTCATGCATCACCTAATTTCATCGTAACATATAGGCCTGGCCTACAGAAAAGAACATTTATGTTTAATCTATCTAATAGTGTGTTGGTCATACTATACAATGATTTATAGCTCATAAAGAGCTTTAAAAAATAATTGCATATTAAATCGCAATATTGGTAAAAAAAAATCGCAATTAGATTATTTTCTAAAATCGTTCAGCCCTAGTTTTATCCTGATTAAAGCTTTAATACAGCACGGCAACCGCACGCGCGTCCATGTTTAATGCTTCTCATAGCTATGTGAAAATAAGTGTATAAATGGAACAGTTAATTGTTGGAGCTGAGCTGAATGAGAGATAGAGAGAGAGATGCAGAGCAGGGGGACGTGAGGAACAGCATTAAGAACTGCTGCTTTAGAACATTGATTTTGAAACTTGTGAATCCATTAGAATCGTTAGAAGACAGCATTGCGATTCATATATGAATAGATTTTTACGTGCACCCCTAGTTTTCTCTTCCTCTTCTCTAAAGCAGTGCAACATGGCCTCGCCCCCTTTGCTGCCTTTTCCCGA